CTTTCTCAAAATGTTTCGTTTTAACATCTGCTCAGATTCGAATTTCATATTGTCAAGGTTCTTTGGCAAATTTTTGACAGTGTATGAAATTTGCTCGTCTCCTTGTGAGGACTCACGTACCCCCTGAGAGTATGTTTACCCCAGGTCCAGCATCGCTTGGAAATATGTAAAGGCGGAGAGGACGAGTATGTCAGTGTGTTTATCTGGTCACCGGAATGCGGGACAAAATGTTAGTATAACGGTTGGTAATAAATTCCTCTAAAATACAACAAAATTAAGATAATTGGAGACAGCAGCAACAAATCCTTTCAGTTCATCATTAAAAGTCATCATTCTGTTCAACGATGCATATGTGACATGTGACTTACCCCATTGAGCAACATTCTTCTTTAAAAGCTGATAGTCGTTTAGTTGGTCAATAATTAGAAAATAAAAGGTACTCCAGTGTGGAAGACATGTGATGAAACGAAGCTTCAAACTTCCAGGAACACAGCACAAAAAAGTAGAATCTACTGAATTCGCGGACCACTTTGCCACAACTAGCGGATCCCCTGTTCATAAACGCACTCGTAAATAAGATGACGAGACGGGAGTTAGAGTGCATAGAATGGATGGATATTGTTTGTAGAATTAAAAAATTGTCAGTGGAGCCACGGTTCCGGAGAATTTGACGTAAATACGTCTATACGGAAAGGAAGTTTATATATTGGCTTTATTCTAAATATTTCCTTTATACTAGCTTTACAATTGAGTAAAGTTTGATTAAGACATTGCTTATTTAACTTGAATTCGTTACGCTTAAGATGGGTCTGTGGTAGCTGAATGTAATGTAAAGTAATGTAATGTAAAGTAATGTATTTTAATGTAAGGTAAGGTATGGTAATTTTATATGTAACAACAATGCCGAGTAAACAGATGACGTTTCGTAGGTAACAATTGTTACACTTTTTCGTTCCCCTTTTTCGTTACACTTTTTCCTAATAGACGTATTTACGTCAAAAAAGTATACGGCATTGCGATTCAAACCAATGTGGAGGAGACTTAGTGGATCGTAGAATCACTCAGTAATGATGGCATCTCTGTAATTTATTCGTAGATTTATAGTCTGTCATTCCAGATTTCTCCGAGACCATGTTCAAGCTCCGTAGTTTTATTCCTACGAGTTTATAGTTTATACGATCTGACTTCAGTTTTCATAGTGTTTAGGGAAGTTGCGACACGGGTCGCGGGAACAGACGAGTGACTTTCTTGTATTTTTGCTTTTCACGGCATAAAATCCGCTTTTAAGCCCACGAATCAGTTTAGAACAGAAGAGGCACCTTTGCTTCAGGTTATCAGATGATGTTTAGGGATTTGATCATCATAAAATTCGCTTCGGTAACTACATTCTTACTGCAGCGTATACCAGACTGTGGTTGTTCGCAAACCTCTTGAGGGTCGTGGGATTGTTTCAGGGAGTTCTTCAAAACGGATACTCAACGAGGAATTTTATGTGCTGATGTTTCTATCCGGGGCCGATATGTCGATTAAATGAAGGAGGGTGTGATTGACGGGACATGTAGCGCGTATGTGGGAGATGATAAATGCGCGCAAAATTTTGGAAAGCCTGAAGGGTAGACATCACTCGACCAAGGCGTAGATGGGAGAATACTGATAAAGAGAATCTTAGGGTTGGATTCACGTGGCTTAGGGTAAGTACCGGTTGCTGAATCTTGTGAACACGATAATGAACACTAAGTTCTACGAAGAACTTCTTTACGGCTGAGCGAGTTGGTTACGTAGGACTGCCTTATGGAGTTAATAAAAGATGGAATATCATGAAGTATAACTTATTTGGGGAAACTGAACAATGCATGAAATGAACTGTTGTTTGAAGATGGCTGTCTTCTGGGTTGTTGCACCGTGTAGGCTCGTCGCACCTGATGATGAGGCAGCAAGGGCCTCTGAAACGTCGGTAAACGTCTACCAGACGACACGTATCTACAGTCCAGAAGACGCCGATCTTCTCAAGACGTGGTTTCACGCAGAAAGCACTGAGACCGACTCGCCGGTTCGTGTAGTGTGGAGCGCGATCCACTCATGACTCGTCAAGTCAGTCCTGTTTCATTGTCTGTCCTGTTGCTTAACCATGTGTCGTACTTCGGTAAGCTAAGCAGGCGGAAATACGCCACTCCCATGCATTCGATTACTGCAGTTGAAATATGTAAGTCAGGGGTCGATAATCTACGGACTGCGTGTACTTTACGATTTGGTTCGTCTCTCTTTTGTAGTTAACGGCCCTTTCCTACAGAGAATATGCGATATTGATGCGGCGTCTCGTAGAAGGTGACCGACATTTTGGAGACGCTTACAACCTCCACCATGAGAAGACGGTCATCTTCATACCAACCGCGAAAAGAAGTTGAATCTCCCAAGTGCATTTTCGTGTCGAATTAGATACGCAGTAATAGGTCTATTGAGGACTTCACTTTAGAAAGTCATTGGGTCGATTCCGAAGCATTCTCTTCCCGAGACTAGAGGCGTTTTTTGTTCCCCCCAAACGTGATATCACTTGCATTTGCTCGTTATTTGTGTCACTATATTTGCATTAAGGCAGTCTGTCGCATTGATTCGCGATTGGATTTAGCTGGACCAGGACAGGAACCGGTTGAGGACTTTGGTTAATTGGGTGATGAACCTTCGGGTTCCCGAAGCCATTAAGTTAGTCGCATTGATTTACTTTACACGAAACTGAGACATCGCCCTGATGATGGAGGCAGTATGACCTCCGAAACGTTGGTTAACATCGACCAGACTACACAGCGCAACACCCCAGAAGACAGAAATCTTCATACGCATCGCCCTGATGATGGAGGCAGTATGACCTCCGAAACGTTGGTTAACATCGACCAGACTACACAGCGCAACACCCCAGAAGACAGAAATCTTCATACGCATCGCCCTGATGATGGAGGCAGTATGACCTCCGAAACGTTGGTTAACATCGACCAGACTACACAGCGCAACACCCCAGAAGACAGAAATCTTCATACGCATCGCCCTGATGATGGAGGCAGTATGACCTCCGAAACGTTGGTTAACATCGACCAGACTACACAGCGCAACACCCCAGAAGACAGAAATCTTCATACGCATCGCCCTGATGATGGAGGCAGTATGACCTCCGAAACGTTGGTTAACATCGACCAGACTACACAGCGCAACACCCCAGAAGACAGAAATCTTCATACGCATCGCCCTGATGATGGAGGCAGTATGACCTCCGAAACGTTGGTTAACATCGACCAGACTACACAGCGCAACACCCCAGAAGACAGAAATCTTCATACGCATCGCCCTGATGATGGAGGCAGTATGACCTCCGAAACGTTGGTTAACATCGACCAGACTACACAGCGCAACACCCCAGAAGACAGAAATCTTCATACGCATCGCCCTGATGATGGAGGCAGTATGACCTCCGAAACGTTGGTTAACATCGACCAGACTACACAGCGCAACACCCCAGAAGACAGAAATCTTCATACGCATCGCCCTGATGATGGAGGCAGTATGACCTCCGAAACGTTGGTTAACATCGACCAGACTACACAGCGCAACACCCCAGAAGACAGAAATCTTCATACGCATCGCCCTGATGATGGAGGCAGTCTGACCTCTGAGACGTCGGTAAACTTTTACCAGATTACACGGCGCAACAACCCAGAAGGCAGCCTTCTTCGGACTCCCCGCCGTGAAAACCTCGAATCCTACTTTTCCGATCCCTGCCACGACGTAAGGTGACGTGTAATGAGAAACAGGACACTGTCTTTATGAATCCTGCAGGACTTGGCTTTGCGTCGTTGTAAACAACTGAATCAACGGAACTTCTTTACACAGGCAGTCTGACAGGAAACAACTGACTGGCGATAATTGTTAAGAGAATGGCGTCCGGGGTGATGGATATCGTACAGGTTGTAACGAAAGTATGGCCTCACTCCTCATTTCAAGTGAAGTAGTTCATGTAGGCAGTTGTCGTGGTACAGAACTTGTTGAACTTGCTTTAAAGTTCAGGTGACTTCTGGTGTGGTTTTCTCGTCGGTTGCTAAGTCCTGTGTTTGACGTCTTATGCGGTGAGAAGGGCAATGTTGTAACATTAAACGACGCTAAACCCAGTGTCATATGCCACTTCACGAACAACGTATGGCTTTGAATAAAATGCAGATGTGGTCGAAGATCAAGTTATTAGTAAAATACATTGTAGAAATGTTTGTTATAATTTATTCAGCGCTAAGATCAGTGCATACAGTGGCGGTAGTTACCTGTGGCCGTGAAACACGATGCTGTTAAGAAAGAAAGCGGACAAAATTCCAGAGGAATATTGCTTCTTCCTAATTTTAACTTGTTCCTCAGTTAATCCCTTACGGGGAAATAACTCTGTTGTTTCTTCATTTTCCAGATGTTACAATGCGTGTCATTTAACGTGGAGAAAAACCAGATATGGCGTACCGTAACTTCAATTAATATTGAAAGTGACTTGAAGATGGCTGGCTGTCTTCTTGGTTGTGCTGTGTAGTTTGGTAGAAATTTACTGACGTTTCAGAGGTCCTTGCTGCCTCCATCATCATCAGGGTGTCTGCTTTGGACGTAATACGTAGACTATGTGGGAGACAGCTTGATTAGCTTTCAACCCATGCTAACGCAGCGTCTGTTCGAGGCTACAGAAATTTCAGAACGAATCATGCGTCAAGCCAACATCCCCATGACGGTGAAATTTTTATTCACAGAACTGTCATTTATTGAAGATCGTAGTTTAATTTTTATTTACTCCTAATACGTCTGCTTTATCAAAATCGCCTTTTTCACTTGTCCAGCGCCTTTGTGGCTCAGAAGAATCAACCGCCCGTAAACAATGTGTAAGTCCACTCAGTGATCTGGACCAAGCAAGGAGTCGCAACCCCGTGTACCACTCACTTGAATGAGTCGTTCTGAGTTCATAGATTTTGTTCTTGATGTTTCAGGTGGTGGGTTCCATCAGCCGGTGTCTGCTATGTTGAGCGGCTCGACTGCGCCCCCTTTCCGGTCTAATGCGGGCCACCGTGCCCCATGGCCTCCGCCCGCTCTGCATGCCGCAACGGAAGGTAAGCTGAAGACCGCTGGTTCGTAGTTACGTTAGAACAAGCACGTGCTTTCTACATGGAGATGGTTTTTTTATCCAGAAGCTGATGGTCGTAGAGCTTACGGGTTTCCCTATTTTATGTAGCTGGAGGGTCCATTTGCCGTGTTCATGAAAACCCTTACTGGCGTCTGTCCTGAGCCATTCCTACATCTTTTCTTGTTCTCACGTCAACACCTGGGTTTCCCAAACGGTCTAGGTTGAAAATTTGTCTAATGCGTGCTACATTCCCAACCGAACTTCCCTGATTTGATTACCTGCATTCAGTGTAACTCCGTTTTGTGAGACAAATTTTAGTATCCTGGAATATAAAGTAAAGACATACGTCATACCATATCTCTGATACTGAAACTGTTTAACACGGAAATTGAAACGTCAAATTTAACGTGAAATAGTCTTCTTGAATAACAGTATATTCCGTTCACACAATTTTCTTCTGAATCGTTCTTCAAGAGCGTGAGAAACTTTGAATTTCGTCGCTGACGGAACGATTATCAGTTTTTAAAGTGGGACTGTGCACCGTGGAGTTCAATATTCAGAATCATCCTGGTTGCAAACGGAAAATAATCAATGGCGAACGAAGAAGGTAGACTTGGAGGGAGAGGAGAAGGGAAAGAAGACTAAATATTTGCACTGTTCAGTTGCAGCGTGATGCAGACATGTAGCATGACTCTCAGACACGTGATGCGTGCCTCAAATAACTATGGGGAATGCATTGTCTGCGGTCGAAAATTTTGCTTTTGTCTCGGTTCTTACGGAACGCGAAGGCTGATCAGGGAGGCACTGACGAAGTAACACCCCGCGCTGTGATTTGAACAGACCGAAAATGGTATTTTGCAGTACCGACCAGAGCATGCACAAATTGTATTTTTCTTCTCTTATTTCAAATAAATGACAGTGAGATACTGTGCAATGTTATCTAGAAGCACGTACCTGTGTTGAAAGTTAAATCTCTGTCTAACGATAGGTCGATCGAGTGCCACTTATCTAGACTGATGCCTGACGTAATCTTGTTCTTTATGACTGATATATTTCAGCTGTTTAAATAATGGGCGGGCGAAATGTTTACACAGTTCAGTAGTGTTTTCGTCAGTTTAATGCTCTCATAAACTTCAATCATCCAAGAATTATGTGTGGTGTCAGCACCCGGTTAGTGACAAGTGACGCCTCTGCATGGGAAAGGCGATCAGCGTGGTGATCACTGCTGAAGATCTACGCCACTCATGCTTCATCGATCGAAAAGTGCGTGAGGTTGCGAGACTGTAATAGGGCAGTTCCGAAAGGAGAGGCAAAACACTTCTGTTATCAGATAGAAAATACCGTAGTTCTCTGGCAATTTGGGTTGAAGGTAAGACGACAGGGCGACCCGTTGACGGGGGCAGCTAGTACGCCTTAAACGTCGGCAAACTAATTGCAGACTACACGGCACTAACATCTTCATACTTGCCCCCGCGAGGACGTGAAATCCTACTCATATCAGTGTTCATTTAGGACAGTTTGAACAGAGATGAACTCCTGTTTCAAGCTTTCTCAACGAATGCGTGAGCACGGATATTAATTAAGAAGCAAGCCATTTGTGAGTCCTACCGAATGCGCTTGTTAAATGCACACTGCGTGAACAACTTTTTTACGATGGCGGAAGTTTAGCCACTCGCAACATGGTTCTAAGCAGAATATTTGCACAGTGATGCTTCACCAGAAGGTGATCAAATAACGATGAATTAGATAGGCGGGGCAGCTGTCTTACATGCGAAATGTGAAAAATGCGCTTACGTATAACTTCTGTCGGAAAACAGGAAAGAACGACTTCACAACTTGGCGTGCATGGGAAGCAGGGCTGTGGAGTCGGGGTCGGAAGCAATTTTACGTGGAGACTGAGTTGGTAAAAAGAAGTTCTCAAGGTCATTTTTTCAAACTCTTATTTCTGTCGATCTGTAGGAATCTGAGTGACATTACTCATGTGTGTTTGAGGTCACGCACAGACCACTGGCATGACATAGTCACGACAATATCAGTCCACGGTTTTCCGAATAGAGGCTTTTAAAGTTCTCAGGGTCATTTTTTAAAACGCTTATTTCTGCCGATCTGTAGGAATCTGAGTGACAATACCCAGGTGAGTTTGAGGTAAAGGACAGGGCTTCGTCATGTCATAGCCACGACAATGTAAGCACCGTGCCGCTAAAATTTCGAAATTATATTTTGTACATTTCTTGTCGTACTCACATCTTCATAACCATGATTATTCTCATGTCACGTTGAGGTCACGTGTAGGTCAAGGTCATACCGAAGTCACGTCAAAATCAGCCCAATACTTTCCCAGACAGGGGTCTTTAAAATTCTCAAGGTCATACATTTTCACGCTCAATTCTGCCAAACCGTAAATACCAGGTTGACCATAGTCATGTCAAGATGAGGTCACGGATAGGTCAAGGTCATGTCAAGACCTCGACAAGATCACGCAAATTGTTTGAAAATTAGAGGCCTCAAACGTTTCAAGGTCATTCGAAATAATATATCCTCACGCATATACGTAGAGAACTGTAGGAATCTGAGTGACATTGCACACATCATTTAGAGGTCATAGATATGTCAAAATCATGTGAAGGTCACAATATATACTCAGTGCCTAATTTGTGTTGGGATAGATTACGTTACGTTGGGTTAGGTTAGGTTTGAGTGGGATGTGTTAGATTATGTTTTGGTCCCTTACGTTGCGTTGTGTGGTTAGGTTTGTATCGTTTTAGCTTTTGTTATTACGGGGTAGGTATGTTGTGGTCACGTATCTTTCAATGTCACTAAAGTTCAAGGTCATTAGAAAACTAATTTTTCCCACACTTTATTCTGAAGAAACAAACATATCTGTGAGGTCGCGTTCAAATCAAGGTCATGTCACAGACACGACCAGGGCTATGGAGTCGGAGTCGTGGTGTCGGAGCCGGTAGCCTTTTGAGTCGGAGTCGGTAAAATTGTAGTTACTCCGACCTCGGTATAAAATCTTAACAACAATTTCTATACCGTGTGTGCCGTCGGCGGCCTCACGCTTAGGGAAATTCAACGACGCGTTGAGCCACGTGTTGTGGGAATAATGCTTTGTAACTTTGGCTCCGGTACCTTAAGAATCGGAACTGTTCACAAATTAACCGATTTCTGTAATAACAATTGGACGTATATTTAAATATAGGTTATAAGTCTAAAAAGTAGGCTGATGATTCACGTGGTGGTGATGAAATCTCTTATGGTGCCATTTACCATTTTAGTAGGTTTACCCTGATTAATACATATTGAGCTTTTATGAAGGAGTCGGGGTCTGAGTCGGAGTCGAAGCCGGAGTCTTAGTCTTAGATTTTAGTACCGACTCCACAGCCCTGGTGGTAAGTTAGATATAAACTTTGTGTTAAAGGAATAGGATCTGCGTGTGTCCACTGCATTCATCTGGCTCAGAATGGTGACCGGGGGCTGCCTGTTGTGAACACGTGTTTTGATACTCCATCGTCCGTAGAAGGCGGGAATTTTCTAATCAGATGCAGTACTATTTGGTTCTGAAGAAAGAGCTCTTACTGCCGCCATCATCAGGGAAATGAAACGTCGACAAGTTTTTACCAGACTACACGGTGCAACGTGTAACCATGACCACGAAATCCCTTATCAACCGCGGTTAACAAACCTTCAAGATCTAAACATAGCTTTTGTTATGATATTTAGTCTTGAATGTGGAAGAAATGTCTGTAAGTACATGGAAAGGGATTAAGAATGGAGGGCAACATATGTTCTTAATGTCACTGCAAGGGGACTTCGTGGCCATTCTGTACATTGTTACAGCCGCGTGCAGAGCTGCTCTTTGGTGACGTCCGGGCTTTCTGACCGATGGCAACGCTTTCGGGATGTCGTCGGCCACTTACATCGGTCTAGTGGCGACGTGGTAATAATGCGCTTTGTCGTCACAGGTTTTCCACGCGACACAACTCGGCGCTTGCTTGTTTCTGTGCCGATTTGAAAGTATTGCACAACTTGCAGCCGATATTTCGAGCCTGGCGACGATTCTTAGCGATAACGGCTTCAGCCATAGTTGGTTAGGGCTCACGTTGTGTACCCTTCCTTTGGAGACTATTGCAGTACTTGCCTGATGGAAGGCGAAAGACCAAGGCGGGTTTTTGATCTCACCCCCATAAAATCATTGTTCTCTTATAGTTCTGAAGGTATAGATGCTTCTGTTCTAAGGCATCGCGCCATGGAATCGGATGGAACAGTTGAGGTGAACCGCGTGTTCTTAAAGTCATCACCAGATCGAGAGGATCAACATCCAGCGATAATTCGGTCCAGGAGATGCAGTGCAAGCAGGATGTCTTGACCGCGAAATGATGTGCCAGCGACGAGGAGGGTTAGAACGGGAGAAGGTTTCTGTACGAGTCTAGCAGGAAACGTTTGCTTCGCTCCGAACTTTCGACCACTTGTTCATAGTATTTAATGCGTCACGCGCTGCAAGAATTGCTTTCTTCACCTGACGTCCAGCAGTTGTAACGAAGTTAATCACGTCAAGGCGAGGGAGATAATCAGGTCTGTGATCGTCTCTTACGGCGATGTTGTCTCGACATGCAATACAATGCCATCTCGCGCGACCTTGACGCGGCCGGACGGCCCGAGAGGCAACGAGGAAGGCTACTTGCGAGTGTAATCCCGGCTGTACATGGAGTTTTTGAGACCCAAAGCCGGTCTGGACGTGGTGGCGAATAGAGCAAGGCTTGTGACTCACCGTGGGACCTTCATGGCGCGACTGTCAGTGATTTACCAGCGACAAAAGTCGCGCGGCGTTGCAGCGAGTTTCAAAATGCGTGCAAGGAAGCAACGGCGATGCTATATTTATGGAACCGATGACGTCACAAAACTCTAAAAAATAAAATAGTGGGTGCGTCCCACATTAGCCCTTTGAAGAACAAAGCGAAAATAAATAATGTTTAAAAATTCAGCTCTCATTAAAAAACGAATGTAAATAGGAACTCTAAAAAATAAATGGTTTGCAAGGAATAGTTTGTGGTCGCGTTCCATTAGGCAATGGGCTTTTATTGGCAGCGCGATCACTAGGAAAGTGGCTCGCTCAAACTTGTGGCGATACCACAACTAGCCATTTAGCAGATCGCTACGAATTGTCGCCCAGATATTCCCAATTTATTTACTTTGTTATACTCCTTTCTTCACACGTTTCTGGTCGCCCCATTATATTTGGGAAATGTTTCGGCGACCAGTCTTACGTAAGACATCTGTGACAGCAACAGTGGTGACCTATTCAAGCAGATTGGTTTCCATAAAATTCCTTCCGTGTCTATTCCATTTCCGTGTTTAACAATTTCCGTTTATTAGAGGTAATTTTACAATGGTGTGTACTCCGTATTCTAGGGACCGCATGCAGCGTACGACAGTGCACTTGAATTCTGATCAGATACACGTGTTTCTTCTGTTAAAGGATTTGGCCGATTTGGGGCAGGCGGCGTCGGATTGTATTCACTGTTTCCCGGTCCCGGAGGTGGTGCAGGGGGCGGCGGAGGAGGCGCTTCTGAAGCAAGTGCTGCCATCTATTCGCAGGCTACGAGGTTTGCGCATTCCGCCAATACGTACCACAACTTCATTGGGGCCCATAAAAGTAATTATGACTTAATACATAGTTTTTTTTGTGTGTGTGTGAGATCAGCAACTTCAAGGATTGGGCCATTGAGCCTGTTCCATCTCCTCTGGTTAATCACATCTGGTGCTTACATCGTCCCTTCTTCCTGATGGTTCGTAGGGCAAAGTCTGTCTGGAGGCATTCTGGTCACGTGATGACACCAACTTTTCCTATATGCGCTGATAACACTGGTGATCTGTTTACATGTACTGAGATTTAATAACACGCGGAACTATCTTTAAAGCATAAATACTACGTAGCCAAGAAATAATTTGTATCTTTCAACAGATGACGATCAAATTCCGGGTTAAGAGGTGGTCGTAGTTACGGGAGAGACAAGAAATTCTTACAGAGTTTTAGCCAGAGACCCTGAAGTAAAGAGACCTCTTAGGCGACATAGGTGTAGATGGGAGGATATTATTGATATAGATCGTAAAGGAATAGGGAGTGGGATGTGGACAGGATTAATCTGGCTTTGGAAAGGGACCAATGGCAGATTCTTGTGAGCCTTTTAATTTCGTAAATTCCGGTAGAACGCGTAGCTGGCTGATCGACGAATTGTTTCTGAAGGACTCTTCTCCAGTGGAACTTGCGTGTTTACTAAGAGATTGCGCCATTATTTTTAGTTTGTTAGGTTAAGAGACGGACTAAGTGGGTCTGATTTCCGACAGTCTTCAGTCCAGTGGGTGTACCGGTAAATAAGTGGAGCTGCACTCCACTTCCCCATACACCGGCACGGCGTAGTACATAAGTAAGCACCATTTCAGCTTTACCTGAAATGCAGACGAAAATCGTTCGCGTGCATTTCTACTTTACGCGACGTCCAGATCCAACAACTTAAGGAACAAGCTAAATAAGTTCCTGGTGCTTAATCAAGTACCATGCTGTGGAGACGTATTGGGGAATGGAGGCCTCCACATACTGTCGACTACTGCAATAGATGGACGTGATTGGTTAACTTAACTCCCCGGCCGTCTCACCCCCGAGGTAAGAACTCCGTTATGTATTTGATACGAGGAGACAAGGCTGCCAACAGAGACGTGGTAAAAATAAAAATCCCGCTCTCGGGAATCGAACTCCGATCGTCCATTGTGCAGCCTTGTTACTATACCGACTTCGCTGTCGTTCAAACAAGGGCCCTTCGCAAAAATCTGTGAAGCAGGATGACCAACGTAAATGTCGGCGCGCTGTAGTGATATTCTTTTCATGAAGTTGGGATGCCGTGTGTCACGGGGGTCTTACGTCACACAATGATACGTGTTTGGTAAACGCTGGGAGTTGCGAGTGGAGGCTGTTGCTGGCGGCAGCGAGGAGTGGCGTCGCTGCGTGTGGCAAAAGCGACCTAAAACTTCTTGGGTGTTGGTCTCGCAACAGAAGAACGAGAAATGTGGGAAGAAGCAGGGAGCCTCTCAGAGGTTCTCATTATTTTCTGATTCAGAATTGCGTGACGATGACGTCACAAGTTTTAAAAGCGTAAATGACAGTGAGATTAAGATCCGTAAGTGATGTGCAATATTAGCTGCTTCAGTCGCTGATCTGATGGTAAGCGAAATTCGAACATTCCCGGTGTCACCAAAGCCAGTGGTAAGTACACTGGCTTATTGGCTCCTGGCCTTTAGTCTGAAGGTTAAGTGGAATCTAAGGATGTTGGATGTCATCAATTTATTTGCGACATTGGGTGTTTGCGATTTTTATGATAGGTGGAATTTTGCGTGTCTGTAGTCCAACGCTAGACTGAATTTGAGCAAGTTTGGGCATCAGGAACAAACCGACCCCAGTACTTCATCAACACGACGTGGTCTACGAGAAAAGGAAGTGAAGATTGCTGTCTTCTGGGATGTTGCGCCGTGTAGTATGGTAGAAATGTCCTCTGAAACGTCGGCAAACTTCTACCAGACGACACGACGCAATAACTCAGAAGACCGCCAACTTAAACTCCAGTGGTTCTCATATTTTCTCCATTCACATGCCTATATTACATGCTGCAACAGGTATATATCCACTGTAATAGCGTGCCCACTCCTGTTATTGGTTGTATATTGACTGTGTACTTATATTTTTTTCGTAGTTGCCGATTCGCTGTTCTCTTCGGGGTACACTTTCGGAGGGCCCACACCCCCTCCTCCTCCTGGTGCAGCACCCCCACCGTTTTCGCCAGTTAGCCCCCTGGTGGATCGGGGTGTCATAACCCAGCTAGAACACATGGCAAAAGGTTTTAACAACAACAACAGCAGTGCCAACAATAACAATATTAACAGCAGTTTAAACGGTGGTGTTAATGATTCGAGTATAACCAGCGTTCCTGTCGGGAATAACAAGAAGGTGGAAAACAAGAGACGGTCTGAATGCGCACTGTATCAAGATTCGGTTGAACGGCGAACGCAACAAACGTCAAATGGTGGTCCAGGGACCGGAAACAGGAGACGGTGGGAACGCGTGCATGGCCAAGCGCCGCCCACATCTCCGATTGTGAAGAGTGAAGTTACAAGTAGGCCGACTTGCGGATGTCGCAACTCTTCCGTTTCGACAAGTAAGTACTGACCTCTGTCAAGGATTGTGATGTATTGTTGTTACTTGGTTTCCGCAAGGCCCTTCCAGGATTGCCAGAGGAGCCACAGCGATCTCCAGTGGTAAGGCAGAAGAATGCAGGAGAGTCGCGATTATTCGACATTCTGTTTTATACGACACGTGGTGACGTGATGTTGCCGCAAATAAAAGCAAATACCACGAATTTGTTTCTTAAACAAACGCTTCCAATTAGAGATTTACAATATTTGAATAATGTTTTAGTATGATTTGATGTTTCCCACGGCTGTCTTCTGGGTTGTTGCGCCGTGTAGATGTTTACCAACATTTCTGAGGTCATACTGCCTCCGTCCTCTGAAACTTCGGCAAACTTCTACCAGACGACACGGCGCAACAACCCAGAAGACAGCCGTGGGAAACATAAAATCCTACACAGTTGGAGATTTTTCTCATCTTCCATATTTTTGAAACCTCAGCCCTGATGATAGAGACACGCGTTTCTCCAAGAACGTTGGCGTTTACCGACGAGTCTACACGGCCCCAAAACCCAGAAGAATATCTTAAAATCCGAGATGGTGTCTTAAATTAGGCCACGACCGTTTCCTTTTATATCATTATTAATATTTTATTTATTCTTAAATTAGGCCACGACCGTTTCCTTCTATATCATTATTAATATTTTATTTATTAAATTATTGGACGCAGTTTGACTTTTGAGAGGATGGAAGGTCACTGTTTTGCCAGGAAACGAATCCTGCCATGAGAGCAGTTACCTATGACAGGAATCTCGTTTCATTACAGCATAACATTGCGGCAGCCAACGTTTTGCGGAAGTCCGTTTCCTTCAGAATACTTCTCGACAGTTCACAAGAGTGTAGGTCTCAAGTGTGGATCGAGTTTCAAAGCGGACATGTTTAGTATTTGTTAACATGAAACGTAATCAAACTGCAATCCTGTGTGATCGCAAATTCTGCCTTGTAGATAACCACGTCTTTTTAAGTAACCCTTCTTTCCCATCAAAGTACAATCATTTCTGTCGTCTACCATAAACGCGTAAACAATGTGGAGAGACTGAAAGACTTCATTTCACGTCACAGATAGAAAATCGAGCTTTGGTGTGCGAACACATCTTTTCCCGCATCATTTTGGTCTGTTGTACGCAATGTAATTAACTTACTGAATATTTAATTTGTTTTTTAGTCTGTACACTGAATCCTTCCCACTGCCCCGCTTATATTCCTGATGGATAGCAGTGGAACCAACCCCCGTTCCCCACCCACAACGTTTATCAATAATCTCCATACAAATAGGTTTGTCATGAAATTCTACCATCCGCTGATTTTGAATGTCAGAAGCAAATTGAAATTCCTAGTTTGAATCTAACGCTGGAGCGATGTATTGGTAAGGGTGTAGGGTAGGCGATGATGGGTAGGCCTAGATGATGATGATGACGACGGAAAGAAAATATTTTAGAATTTTCTATTAACTTCCTTCATTAACTGAGTTGCTTGTTTTTGGTACGAGGAAATGAATACTAGTTCCGGTGTCTAGTGAACCTTCAAGAGCTTTTATCATGAAGGTTCCGGCTACAGCGTCCCCCTTGCAAACACCCTTCTGTTTTATTTCCAAAGACCCTCAGACATTATCATTGCCTTTACGCGAATCTGTTATATATATGGTTGATTAGAAATTCACATTGTTTAGATTTGCGTGTGTATCGAGCGTTTCCAATGCAGTGCAGCAGACGTCGAAGGGGAACAGAGGGGAGGCTGGTTTTGTAACCTGATCCAAATTCACATTCCGTTCTGCCGGATGCTTATCAATAATTATTTTTTTTAATACATTTCTCCCCATTCGTGCTTGCATTCTGCACGCCCACTTTAAACACGTACGTACTTCGTTGGATGTGGATGCCACGTGTTTGTGTATCGTTGTTCTTTTGGAACTGTAAGTTGGATGGGGGCGCAGCAGCGATTGTATCCCGCGTACCTGAAGCATTGTCTCAAATACGTAATCCCGTTATTTCGTGGTTGAAACAAGAACACGTATTTTTTATCTTACATTCTACGAGAATGCATCCTTCATCCTTCCTGTATTCTTCCACACTTTTAAAGCTTTTGGTTGAAGCGTCTGAAAATCACTCTTGTATCTCCGTGTAGTTCGGTAGACGTTTATCAACGCTTCATAGGTTCCTGTTTCCTCATCGCCATGATGATGGAGGCAGCGAGGACTTCTGAAACGTTGCTAAATTTCTACCACGCTACAAACCAAGGACTCACCGCTGTGAGAACCTCAAATCTTGTTTCTGCAGATGAAAACGCGTTCCTTTTACGAAGTGCATAAAATAAAACTTGAGAACGGAATGATAAAAGGTTTGTCGTACACAAAATCGCCTCATAAATATAGATTTCGCAGGAATACATTCTCTAACGTTTATCTGAAATTATTTTTCCGTTCGGAGAATGTTTTGAGATGCATTTAGAATTCGAAGCTGCCGAGCTGCGAAACGAGCACTCACCTAGAATCTAGTGTCGAGGCTCAGAACGCGTGGATCTCTACCTCCGTTCCCCATACGCCAGAGCCTTGTCGACCTATGGAACAGGAACGCACCAAATTTCACGAGGTCCGAAATTGAAACGTATTTCAGAACGAAACATTCTTGCAAAAGGGAATGGACGTTTCTGCCGTAGTCAGACAAAACGTTTCTTTTCTAAATGTTCGAAATTCAAAATCATTTTCACGCAATCGTATATACCATATTTTGCAAGTTTGAATCCACCGAAAATGTCCTCCATATTATTTCGTTTTAAGCTTATCGATAATTAAAAACATTTCCTTTCCACAGACTCCCCATCCCCCCTTGTACGGAATGGCAGTAGTCAGCACACAAATGGAATCATGGCGAATTCTGACAATAATGGCGGCCCTTCATTTCCGTTTCAACAATGCAACGAGCGTAAACACGAACATCCAGAACCCTCTAGCGGAGAACGGAAGAAACATGACTCGCTCGTTGCGTCCTCTGGCGGCTGCAGTCGGACCAATCCCGTCTCACTGCGAAACGGTAAGAAATGGTGTTTACTGTGCTGAACAACTTTTCAAACAGAACAATTCGTACAGGATGGCTGTCCTCTGGTTTGTAGCGCCGTGCAGTCTGGCAGAAGTCTTTGAAAACATTGCCCTGATGATGGAGGCGGCAAGAACCTCTGAAACGTTGGTAGACTACACGGCGCTACCACCCCGAAGACAGACATTTTCATGCTCGCCGCCATCAGAACCTCAAATTCAGTCCGCATCTTCAAGGTCCCAGCTTAATTTTTTATATTTTAATTCAGGGGACTTGATAATGGGACGTTGTTTCTGGTTACAGAATTGTTTTTCAGCGCGAGGAGTAGCCACTATCAGCGTATGCTCTGGCCATTTAATCTTCTAGCGGTAAATAACATAACTGCTGTTACTGATGCTGAGTTCAGAGTCGGCAGATCGGTACCTGTGTTTACATGTTGTTGATTTTAAAACAACGGACTCCGAAACATCTCGAGCGCTGTTCCCGAACTGGTGTGCCACGGTTGGTTTTCATAAGCCAGCGCTCTCAAAGGACGAGAGTTTTTGTGTAAATACAATTTTAAGACCACGTGTAGTTTCGAATCCCCCTTTACGCGAGGCGACATTTTTTGTTGTGACTCCAGGTTGTGGAACACTTGTCTAGAGAAACGTCCGCCCACTCTGGAGATCGAGAGGGATCGTTATCGTAGATGAAGAAAAATTTCTGTTTTCGTCGACTTCCGTTTGCTTGAAAAATCGTAATCGACGATTTAGATGGATCGACGAGCCCACTCTTTGAATTTCATTTGTTTATGTACAAAACCTGATTCAGTGTGGTTTGACGCAAAGGTGTGGTGGTGTCAGGCACTGATATCAAATCTCGATGATCAGTTTCAATCCCATTTCGAATTTAACAGTCCGAGTAACGATGGTTGAAGGGCATCTTCGTTGGTTCATGTTTGAGTGCTCCCCTGAATTGAACTTCCGAAACTATGACTCGCATCCATTAATTTTTTTTTATTTCAACGGCGATGCTACGAAACGACGTCGCCTGTCAGGATAAGACAACGCAGGAAACAACAACAGTTGGCGAGATTTTAGTTGCCCGCGGCGGCTTCTGTGAAAATGACTATCTTCTGGGATGTTGCGTCGAGAAGTGTAGTAGAAGTTTAAAGACGTTTCAGAGGGCCGTAATGCATTCATCTTCAGGGCGGATATGATGGATGATCACCCTGATGATGAAGACAGAAGATAGTCATCTTCACTGTTGTCGGTCACCAAAACTCAGATGGCAGTGCTCCGAGTTCCGCCGACAGATGTACCAGATGACTTTGTGTGAGGGGGTGTCCAAAGTTTTAATATGTTGTGGTTATGTTTTAATGACACTAGCGACCACTGGTTTACACTGCAATCTCCTTGGACTGGGTGCAGGAGGTGGGTGTAATTCCGTTTCGGAGTGGCCAAATGGCGGTCTGGTCCAGATAAAGAAGGAGCCGATAAACAGTTCTGGTGGGAGTACGACCCCGTGTCTCCAGGTCGCCGAAGTGACAACCAGTATTCGACATCCTCAGCAGAATGTGAGTTCTGTGCCTAACATGGCGACAGGGTCGCCTATGGCAGCCATTGTGAAACTGGAAGCCACGCCATGTTCCACATCTCCATGTAATGGCGGCGTCAACAGTACTTCAGCAAATGGCGGGCCCAAATCAATGCAACACCCCTCTGTCAACAGCAGTGGTAAGTGGAACCTCGTAATTTACGTAAAAAGTAGAATAGACCCCAAGTAATTAATGGCGTATACTCGGTTATTGCTTTCTTGGATTTGTTTTTGTAATAGGAAGGTTCTTAAGCAGTGGTGTGACGTTGTCGCATTCATGTGGGCTAGAAAAGGAGGATTTTGGTGTGAGGTTTCTCTCGCAGTGTTTAATCATGACACGCGGTAAGGAACAAAACTTGATCCAGCGTAAAGTTAGTTACCCTCTGTGTTTATTATTCATTGGTGTAGTCGTTGGTCGCACTTGGGAAATCGTGTGAAGGAGTTTTCTTCTGAGCCACGTCTAAATAGTCCGCTGCGTTGATCTGAGAAATGTTGTAGTAGGTCTGTTTATGTATTTAACAGACTGTGCACCTGGGTCGTAAGAAGCAGCGTTTCCTACAATTCTGTTAGAGCTTTGTCACGCTACGGAAATACCAGGAGGAACAGGTTTGGTCCCGGAACCGGAAATTCGTCACAAGAAGCAAGTAAGGATCAGCCGTGACTATTAATGGCCCTTTCAGTGGGAAATTAAACTATGGGAAGGCGGAACATGGCCTGTGTTGGTTTCTAAGAACATGCTCACACGTCCGAACGCATTCTTTAAGAGCTTCCGACTTGCTCGTTCTGGAACGGGACAAACCGAGTTGCATGGTGCAGGACTGTCGGCACAATGGCTTCACGCGGAGGGCTGTGAAGATGGCTGTCTTCTGGTAGATATTGACCGGTGTTTCAGAGGAGCATACTGCCTCCATCATCAGGTCGATCGCTGTGAATACACGCCGAAACGCCCCAGAAGACAGCCATCTTCAGCTCGTAGCCTGAACGGCCCGAGGCGGTATGTCGACTGCGAAATGAGACCGCGGTAAACAGGATGGCCTCTGAGGACGGGTTTTTCAACTTTTTTTCCACGTAACTTTAAGGGTCTGCCCGGTAACACTCATTTTCCCTCGTGATGTCGCCAAGTGGCTACGTTTTGTTGTGTTCCTGTAGCCATCCCAGTCGGTATCGCCGTGGCAAGACAGCGACTGCTGGATCACCCTCTGCCGCCGTCTGGCAATAAGTCTGACATGAAGCCCCCCCAGCCCCCCCCGTGCAGACAACAGAAGGCTCTTATACCGGCGCCCCTGGACCCCCAGTGCAGCGTCGCCGATCTAGTTCCTGCCCCAGCGCCGCCGTCTCTCTCTGCAATGGGTAAGTGGTGTGTGATTTTCGAAATCGAAAGTTTCTGAGCGGAAGGGCCATTTTTCTCACATGCACGTACGTTCACAGGGACGAATTATTTCAAGGGCGAGTTAAATTTTAAATCTGTCTTCGGGAATATTGTCACCATGAGAACGCGAAATCTCGCCATAAACAAATTATAACTCTGATATGATCAAAACTACGGATGTTTCATACGAAACAAGTAATATTAGAGCAATTTTCAATTTTATAAAATTTCCATTTCGTGAGTGCTAAACATGTCTGCTGCGAATACTTTTCATAATTACCGAATATTCTTCTTAAATCGTGGCCTAATTGTGTGGCTCGCTCTGTACATCGCGGATTGGACATGAACGTAGTTTTTCCGGTTTTATTTCACCCACAAAGAATTTTAAGCTCTTAAGCACTGGCCGATTTTATTTGCACTGACTTCGCAGATTCTGTACCAAATAGTGGGGGTTCCTTGTAGTGAACGCACCCAGAATAACTAATATTAACCATTTAGTGGTTCTTATCCCAGAGAAAATTGTACGCGTCTGCGTTACAGAGAGCTGGTAACTGAGATTTCAGGTTCTCACCGACGTTTCAGAGGTGCTTGCTGTCTCCATCATCAGGGCGTTGAGTGATGAGGCATCTCAACACCCTGATGACGAGCTGCAAACCGAATCTCTAGAAGTTAATGTTAAGGCGTTGAGAGTGGCTGGGAACGTAGCACGCAGAGAGGCAAACACCTGTTTTCCAACAGCAGTACTCCGTAGCTGATGGGCAATGTCAGTGGATTGCGTGACGTAGGCTGCACACAGCATCAGATGTTAATGAAGCGAGCTTGGTGGCCAATGTAGACTTTCCATCTAATCTTTGTTTTTCCCAGTTTGCTCTTATCAACGCGAGTAGCCAAAGTTCTGTTTGTTAACTACACCAGATTACGAGTTCGTGTGATATTTGAGTTGGTAAGGCCTTTTAATACTGGGGTTCGATTCCCACCCCTGGACACCCGCTCATTGAACGTCGCGGCAGAGTTGTTAACACCCCTGCGTCGTATTTGGGAGGTCTAGGGTCTGAATCTAGTTCCGGAGACCGCATGCTCCTAAGTTGCACAGCGGTCGTCTTGGTGTGGAAGGGTCCCACAGAGTAGTTATATCTTTTCTTGTCCTGAAGATGGGGACACAGGTGCCTCCGAAACAGCTTATAGACTTATGAACGTTGTCCAAAGTTTTGTGACGTAAATACGTCAATACGGAAGTATCATTCGGCAAAAAAGTGAAAGGAAAACTTGTAAGATCCATATCAACAATGTGTAAATATGGATCGACAACAATGGTTATGTTACCTAGGAAACGTCATCTGTTTACTCGGCATTGTTGTAATTAAAGCTAATATATAAAGTTCCTTTCCGTATAGACGTATTTACGTCAGATTCCCCGGAACCGTGGCTCCACTGACAACTTTTACGACGGCCATTGTTACACAGCTTTGTGCCATGAAAGTTGCACGTTTCAAAGAGCGTCATTTCCACGTGGCCTTTAATTTTGATTATAAACACGTAGACACGTAACACGGATCTTTACTACAGTCCGTGTGACGTTCCATCGCGTAAAACGTATTCTAGTAATAATTGTACGCTTATAATTACATAAACAGTGTTTTCGTTGGTGCTGTTAATAATGTGGACGACACCGACAGCCCTCGGTTACATTTCGCCATGAAAAATTATTAAAAGATGCATCTCGCGCGCGCTCTAGGGCGAGGGCGCCATGACGGCTTGCGTAAAACAGTCCGGCTGATTCCTCCATGTTGGTTTTTCATGTGCGGCAGTGCTTCAGCCTCAGTGCCAGGACAGATCGACCAATGGTCTGGCTCCGTGGGCGGCGACAACCAATCATAACCCCGCCCTGACTCCGCCCACATTATGGCAGTATCCTAGTAAGTACCACCCGCTACTTTCTCCTCCTATGACTAAGCTTTGTTGGGCTCAAGGGGTTGGAGTACTTACCTCCCCTCCGTCTTACTTTTGTCTGGAATGCTGTTTGTTATTATAATGACGTGCCACATTTGTGGCACAAATAGTTCTAGCTTTAAGCCGCTGGGCGGAGCTTGCAGCGTCATTATAATGTCCATAATGTTATCTAACATGGCACGAAGTTAAAATTTGATAGGAGGCGTACGAAAGTACTCGGGAAAGCTTTCGAAAACATTAATACTATTCCTTGTTTTGTTAAAAGATTAGAAATACCGAGCTTATTGCTTTATGTGAATTTTCGTCAATTTTTTTTTAATGTGGAAAAAGCAATAACCCGTTTAAATCTGTGTTACTGAGAGAAGAAACAAAGGCAGTCATTAGGAACCTCGAATTAATAATTATGACGTGGGTAATTTGTCTTCTGCATTGTTGCTACGTGTAGTCTGGTAGAAATTGATCGACGTTTCAGAGGTACTTGCCGCCTCCATCATCAGGGCGATATCGCACTGATTCTGGGAGCCTCTGGAACAAACTGCATGGCGCAACAACCCAGAAGACAGCCATCTTCATCATCAAATCCTACTGATGTATCCTTGTTTTGAGACGTCTTTCAGTTTCGCCCCTTTTTTTTACAGTGCTTGGTCTAATGTGATATTATCTAGACCAAAAATTTAAAAAATACTACGAAATGGACGCTGTAAGCACAGTCGGAGTCAGTCTATATTTTTAATGTCGCATTTCATTGCATCTGAGTGGTTTGAAATGTGTAGAAAACGAGGCGAAGTCCTTATATCAGTAGTAAATTTAAGGTTTCTCAAGATCTTCGCTGAAGGAAAGCGTGAGTTTTGGCTCTAAAGATTATGGGTAACAACGCCATGTTGAGTTGATGCCACCGTCTCGGTCCGTCAGCCTCGAAGGTGGAGGCGGGACACTCCGAAACGCTGGCATCCAACCTGAAAGTACACACGGCTTCAAAATTCTGAAGACCAACAATTTAAGGAACGTGGTTTACGAAAGACTTGGCTTGGTTGTGTTGTCGGTGGAACAAGAGAGCAGCGCGGGACGAACGCCATCGGTAATAATTCTGACACAGAATAAGCCACCCCCGCCACGTCTGTGCTCGATCGTATTGGAACAATGCACATTTCTGTACTCCCATACGCGCACAGTCCAAAGTCTTCAACTGTACACTTTGAAAGCTAACGCCTTCAGTGCCATTACCGACTCTAGTTACGTCGTCTTAAATGTTTTAAGTGTAATTCTGGTTTTCCCAGCTAGTCTGTAGCCCCAAATTTGTCAAGATCGGTTATTTCAAACTCGGGTTCACTCGCCAGAGTTTGAAAATCAAATTCTACGCTTTGGCCAGTTTACGAGTAAGATGCAGGCTCCTGTAGCAAATAGGAAATTAGGAGCTTGGCCTAAGCGTAAGGTAACAGACAACATTTTAGTTTCGGACCTCCGTATATGACAGGAATAATTATCCCACCCGGTCAGTTTATGTGTTAGTGTCACACTTCATGAATTCCGCTCGGCCTTCCGAGTTGCTTAAGAACGTAATTTGTTGGCTGTGTTGATAGTTTGATATATTGGATGCACGGACGCAAAACATCACGAAACTTAACTATACAGCTGGTTTGGTCCATTTCTCTTCTCTGTCAATACCATCAATATGTTGGCGCCATGATTAATTTGCTCTCCAGTGTATGTTTTTCTGTTCGTAGCCCACGTACCAGTGCAGTTGGGTACAACGGAACACGTGCCATTAGATTTACCACCTGTGGGGTACCAGTTGGTACGCGATCCTATGGCAAGCCACTTCCTCTTGATACCAACAGCATCCAACATGGGTAAGCAGTAATTATCTGAACATCTAAGGCGTAAGTAGATGTTCTGTTTTGATGTCGAAGGTTTCGTGCCGGAAGGGCATATCAACATATTTACAAAATCAGAGATTAATAAAGTCTTCTCGGGCTATCAGCCGTGTTAGATGGTATTTAATCGCCGACGTTTCGAGGACCATCTGTCCTCATTTTCAAGGCTGTTGACTGTGTGGACACCAACTAACACGGCTGATAGCCCGAGAAGACTTTATTAA